GGGGATCCCGGGACACGGCCGGGAGGGTCCGGCCGGAGCGCTTCGGTGCCTGGGGATGGGGGGAAAGGGGCGTTTGGGGGGCGGGACGCCCCAGTTTGAGATGGGAAGTGCCAGGTTAGGACAGGGAAGGGTCGTTTCATCTTCCTGGGGAGAAAGACGGCAAAAATGCTGCGGGAGGCAGGAAAAGGGGGTGGGTTGGGGATGAGTGAGGTGTCTGGGGGTCTGGAATGGGGCCAGAGGGTCGAGTGAGGTGTCTGGGGGTCTGGAATGGGGCCAGAGGGTCGGTGCCCAGCTTGGACGTGGAGCCGGGGAGGGAAGGAGGACGAGGGGCGTTTTGAGACCGGGACTCCCCGGATCTGCAGTGCCTGAGCTCCCTCCCCTTCTCTCAGAACAAGCTCCAGAGCCACCTGGAGCCGCTCCGGAAGCAGCTGGACGCGGTGCTGAAGCAGAAATCCAGCGAAGAAGAGAAAATCTCGGTGCTGAGGGTGAGAACTGCCTGATCCTGAGGCCTTTTCCCGATTTTCTCGCTTCCCGGCTTTTACTCCACCAAAAACAATCAGTCCCGGGACACTAAAATCCTGTTTTCTCAGCCCAAGGGATGGCTGAGGGGGGAGGTAGAGGACAAAAGAAATCCCTCGACTCTAATTTGATGGAATAAAGTTTCAACCAAACCCTAATTTACTGGAATTCTGTTCCCACGTTCCCTTAAATACTTTAAAAATCCGCGTTATCCAGGAGGGAATTCCCCAGCAGCTGCCGCCCAATTCCCAACAGAAGCTCCCTGAATCCTCCCCTTTTCCCCGCTTTGTTTCGCGCTGTCCCGGGGCGTTCCCAGCACGGATCCCGCGGTTTTTCCCGGCAGGAGCAGATGCAGGCGGAGATGCAGGAGCTGGAGGCGGATTTCGAGGTGCTGCACCGGTTCCTGGCGGGGGAGCAGGTGCTGCTGCTGCAGCAGCTGCAGGAGCGGCACGAGGCGCTGCTGGCGCGGCAGCGCCGCAACCTGGGAGCGCTGGAGGAGCGGAGCTCGGCGCTGCGCCGCCTCATCGCCGACGCCGAGGCCGCCGGCAGGCAGGACGGGCTCCAGCTGCTCAAGGTGAGGGAGAATCTGCGGCTTCTTCCACAAAGTTCTCTGGGGGAAAAGGGAAAACGGGGATTGGGTTTTTTATTGCGTCCCCCTGGGCTCCGGCTTCTCGGAGTCTCCAAGGGCCGCGCCAGAATCCCGCAGGAACCGTCCAAGTCCTCCTTAACCTCTCATTTTTTTTTTTTCCCTCCCTGATTGGCACCTGCTGCCTTCTCCCAGGACATCAAAGGAACCTTCATCAGGTCAGTCACTCCTCATTCCTGGCAGAGTCTCCTCTCCTGGGAAAACCCACCCCGGCAGCTGCTCCAGGGTGGGTCAGGATGGTGGGAATTCCGGGCAGGGATGGGATTTTGGGGGTGATTTGGGATATCTGGGGGAGGAGGAAGGCTGGGAAGACACCGTGGAGCGTCCGAATCCAAATTTCTCCCCCCCCCCCCCCCCCTTTTTTTTGTTCCTGTTCCAGGTGTGAGAACATCAAATTCCAGGAGCCCGAGATGGTCCCGGTGGATGTGGGGAAGAAGTTCCGGAATTGTTTCCTGCAGGATGTGGTGATGAGAAAGATGGAAAAGGTCTTCAGCAAAGTGCCCCAAGGTGGGGGGGGGGGAAAGGGGGGAAATTTGGGATTAAAGGAGTGAAAATTGGGGGGGTTAAAGGAGCTGGAGCTGGGGGTTGAAGAGGTAAATTTTTTTTATTTAAAGGAGTGAAAATTCTGGGGTTAAAGGGGAGTAAGTTTGAAAGGCTGGAACCTGGGGATCGAAGGGATTGGAAATTGGGGGTTAAAGGGATGAAAATTTGGAAGTAGCAGGAGTGGAAATTTGGGATTGATTAAAGGGATGGGAATAGGGGGCTGAAGAGGTGACAATTGGGATTAAAGGCAGGAAATCGGGTGCTGAAGGAGTGGAAATCTGGTGTTGAAGGGCTGGAAATCATTGCTCCAACCCCCCCACGTGCCACAGCCCCCCTTCCGAATCCCCCTTCCCCAGAACCCCCCCTAAGCCCCCTCCCAACCCCCGCAGCCGACGTGACCCTGGACCCCTCCACGGCCCACCCGCGGCTCAGCCTGTCCCTGGACCGGCGCAGCGTCCGATTGTCCGAGCGGCGCCAGGAGCCCGCGGGCAGCGCCCGGCGCTCGGACGGCGACCTGTGCGTGCTGGGAGCGCCCGGCTTCAGCGCCGGTCGCCACTACTGGGAGGTGGAGGTGGGCGGCCGGCGCGGCTGGGCCGTGGGGGCCGCCCGTGAGACCACCCGGCACCGGCACAAGGGCGCGTCCGGCTGCTCCTCCCCGGCGCCCAAGCGGGAGATCTGGGCCGTGGGCACCAGCGGCAAGAAGTACCAGGCGCTGACGGCCACGGAGCAGACGGCGCTGGCGCCCGGCGAGCAGCCGCGGCGCTTCGGGGTCTACCTGGACTACGAGCGGGGCCAGCTGTGCTTCTACAACGCCGAGAGCATGAGCCACATCCACACCTTCCACATCTGCTGCCGCGAGCGCGTCTTCCCCTTCTTCCGCATCCTGGCCAAGGGCACCCGCATCAAGATCTGCACCTGACGGGCCCGGGCTGCCCCCGCGGGCCGAGGGGGTGCTGCCCTCGGCTTCCTGCGCCCCCGAGGTTCCTCCTCCTCCTCCTCCTCCTCCTCCTCCCGCTGCTGCTGCTGCTCCGCCCGCGCCGCGCGGAGCTGGGGCGGCTCAGGATGGGGAGCGGGTTCGGGATGGGGCAAGATTCACCTCGGAACTGGGTTTGGGTAGGAACGGGCGGAATTCACCTCGGAACTGGGTTTGGTGTTGGGATGGGGCAGGGTCTGCCCTCTGGGAACTGGTTTTGTGTTGCACGGGGCGAGATCCACCCCTTTGGAGCCGGTTTGCATTTGGATGGGGCAGGAGCCGCCGCCGTCTCTTTTGGAGGTGATTTTGGAGTTGGGATGCATTCCCCTTGGATCTGGTTCCCTGTTCAGTTCCTGCCGCTGGGAGCTGCTCCCTCCCTCTCCCAGCCGTGTCCCAATTGAATTTTGGGCCCTTTCCGGACCACCGGGAGTTTTTCTGCGTTTGGGGCCAAATCCTTTAAGATTTGAAACTCACTTTTCCCAAAATCCGCATTTCTCAGTGCCTGGATTTTTTGGGATTCAGCTGAGCCCCCCCCCCACCCCAGCCCTGATGTTCCTGTTCTTCCCCTGCTGTTCTCCTGCTCCTCCCCTCCTTTTCCTTGCCATTTTTGGGGGAAAATCCTGGATTTTCCTCTCCCCTCTGGCACTTTACGGGGCTGGGAGGAGCCGCTTCCCCCCCGCAGCTCTGGAGCTCCCCGAGTCGGGGATATTTATTTTTCCCCCTTTTTATTTCCAGCCAGATCCTGTCCCACTCGGGAGCTCCCCCCCCACACTCCCCCTCACGTTTCCCTGGATTTTGGTGGATTTGGGAATTTCCTGTTGGCGTTACAGAGCTCGTTCGGGATATTTTTGGCTAAAATGAGAATTAAATGGAGATTTAGTTTTATGACACGTCAATAATAAAGAATAAAAGAAGTTGTATCCAAGGCTCCAGGTTGTTGGATCCTGGGAAGAGCCATTTCCAGGACGAGTCTGGGGTAAATTACCCCAAAACTGGGGTCGGGGCCCCCCCAACATCACCAAAATCAAGCACGGGTGCAATCCCAGCTCCCTAATCCCACCCTGATCCTCGTTAATTGGTTAAGGATGACCTGGAGCTGCGTGTCCGGGTCCCCAGCTCCCCCTTCTCCTCTGAAGTAGCATCCAACAGTCAGGAAAAGGCATCAAAACCCCCCCAAAATGGTAAAAAACGGCACTTTGGGCTGGAGCGGAGCTGCTGTGTGGAGATTCCACACCAACGAATATTCCAGGACTCCCTGGAGCCTGGCCAGGTGTCTCGTATTTCCCTATTCTGGGGTTTGTTTTGTTTTAATTCGGGGTTTTTACAGCGGGGGGGAGGACGAGGAACGTCCCCAAATCGCAGCCCGGCGACGTCAGCAGCGATTCCCTCCTTCCCGAGGTTCTGGCCCCGCAATCCCGGTTTATCCCAGCAGCCAACACGCAGCTCCGTAAAGCGCCATTTATTGGTGTTTTTGGGGGTAAAACCGCGGGGTTGGGGCTCAGCGGGTGCCGATGGTCACCTGCCACACCCGCACCAGGTTGTCGGTGTAGCCGGCAAACAGCGTCTGGGGACAAGGACAGGGGCTCAGGGCAGCGTCACCCCCGAGCAGCCCCGACCCCCAAAACCCCCAGGACAGGTCAGGGGTCCCCAAACCCCCAGGACAGGTCAGGGGTCCCCAAACCCCCTGAGCCAGGGAAGGCCCTCATTCCCCAAACCTCTGTCCCTGTGGGAAGGGTCCCCAGGGGAATGTTCCCTGCCCAGGTGAGGGTCCCCAGGTGAATTCCCCTGCCCAGGTGAGGGTCCCTGCCCAGGTGAGGGTCCCCAGGGAGGGAGCCCAGGGTCTCACCTGCCCATCGGCCGACCAGGCCAGGGACGTGCACTGGGGCGGCTCCGCTTTGCTGCTGGTGCTGATCACCTCCTGCTTCAGCTCGTCCACGATGATCTTCCCCTCCAGGTCCTGTGGGGGTGGAGAGGTGAGGAACAACCCCATCCCACCTGGATCCCACCCAGGTCCCACCCGAGCCCAGCTCAGAAACAGCCTCTGGGTTTCCCCACGGAGCGGTCGGAGGCATCCGAATGTTTCATCACAGCCCCCGTTCCCAGGGAGGTCCCGGGGCAGTCCCAGCGGCGATTCCCGGCGTTCCATACCCAGATCTTGATGCTGGGCCCGGTGGCGGCGCAGAGCCAGTAGCGGTTGGGGCTGAAGCACAGGGCGTTGATGACGTCCCCCCCGTCCAGCGTGTACAGGTGCTTGCCCTCGTTGAGGTCCCACAGCATGGCCTGCCCGTCCTGGGGACAGCGTGGGGACACCGAGCTCCGGGACGGCCCCACGGACACCCACGGGATCCCCCAGTGGGGCCACAGAGCTCCACAACAGTCCCCAGGAGCTCCAGAACATCCCTGTGAGCTCCAGGAGTCTGCGGGAGCTCCGAAAGGTGCCAGGAAGATCCTGGGGACCTTCAGGAATGCCCCAGAAGAATCCCCACGAGCCCCAAGAGGTTCCCTGCAGTGAGGCCTCCCCTCTCCAACCATGACCAACCCAGGGACCCCACAACGGGAACTGGGGCTGGGGTGCGGCCCCAGCATCCCCCAGGTGTCCCCCAGGTGTCCCCCAGGCCGTACCTTGCCCCCAGAGGCGCAGAGGGAGCCATCGGGGGACACGGTGACCGTGTTCAGGTACCCCGTGTGCCCGATGTGGTTCGTCTTCAGCTTGCAGTTGGCCAGGTTCCAGACCTGGGGCGGGAAAAGCGGGATGAGAGGGGGCAAACCCCGGCATGGCAGAGCTGAATCCCCCCCCCTCCCCGGGGCTCACCTTCACCAGCTTGTCCCAGCCGCAGGACACGATGATGGGGTTGCTGCTGTTGGGGGAGAAGCGCACGCACGACACCCACTCCGAGTGGCTCTCGTCCTGCGGGGAACGGCGCCGGGGTGGGACGGGGCAGGGACACCCCCGGAGCCCCCCAGGGCTCCCCCAGCCAACAGCACTGAGGCCAAGCCAGCACTGTTGACCCCAAACCCCCCAGGATCAGCCCCAAGCCCCCCGGCCCACCTGCACGGTGTACTTGCAGACCCCCAGCGTGTTCCAGAGCTTGATGGTCTTGTCCCGGGAGCCGGAGACGATCTGCCGGTTGTCCGAGGAGAAGGCCACGCTCAGCACATCCTTGGTGTGGCCCACGAAGCGCCGCGTGGTCGTCCCCCTGCGGGAACGGCAACGGCGTCAGGAACCCCCCAGGAGTCCGGGGGGAATCCAGAAACCAGGACAAATACCCGTAAACTACGAGAAAGATCCAAATCGGGATAAAAGGAGAGGGGGAATAATTTACTCAGCGAGTTGGGGACTGGGACGAGTTTGACTCCACAAAGTCTGACCCTTTGTCCAGCTGCATCCCCTCAACGCAGCCCTGGACACCCCAAAACCCAGCCTGACTCCCCCGGGGCTGCTCCCCGCGTCTCTCCCATCATCATTGCAGGACGTGTCGTCAGATCCCGTGGGATCGGTGAAATGCTACGTGTAATCATCAGGAGAGGGACGGGGAGCAGCTCCAGCACCCCAAAAACCCGGGATTCAGCCAAGGCCTGGGATGAGCGGGCCCCGGTGAGACCCCAGGAGCTGTCCCAGAGCCCGAGGACCCCCCAAGACCCCGCAGTGACCCCCCGAACTGACGTGGTGAGGTCCCAGAGGCGCAGAGTGCCGTCCCAGGAGCCCGAGAGCGCGAACTGCCCGTCCGAGGAGATGACCACGTCGCTGACAAAGTGCGAGTGGCCGCGCAGAGCCCGCTGCGGGATCCCGTAGTTGGTCTCGTCACGGGTCAGCTTCCACATGATGATGGTCTTGTCTGCGGTGGGGCCACGCGGGGGTGTCACCCGCGGGACCCCCGCGGGGACAAACCCCAGCAGAGCTGGGGGAGGAGCTGCCGCCTCTCCCTCCTCCTCGCTCGGCTCCTGCTGCCCCCGGCCCCTCCAGCGAGTTCTGGGGACCCCCGGCCCCGCACCCGGCCCGCCTGACTGGGGGACCCCAGTTCTGTCAGCGGCAGAGCCCCAAGCCCCTGTGGGCCCCGCAAGCCGCCTCCGCTGGGCTCCCCCAGCCCCGCGTTCCCTCACGGTGCCCCCCAGACCCCCCCAGCCCTCCCGATGCTCGCCCCGGGCGCGCACCGCGCGAGGCGGACAGGATCATGTCGGGGAACTGCGGGGTGGTGGCGATCTGGGTCACCCAGCCGTTGTGGCCCTTCAGGGTCCCGCGCAGGGTCATCTGCTCCGTCATGGCGGCGGCGGCGGCGGCGGGGCCCGGCGGGGGCGGCGGGATGGCGGCGGATGCGCGGCGGCCTCAGCCCGGACCCGTCCGTCCCCTCAGGCCGGCGCGGGCAGAGAGAGGCGGCGGCGCTTCCGGCGGAACGGGAAGTGACGTGTTCCGTACGGCAGGATGGCGGCCGGCAGGGCCAGCATGGCGGCGCTCAGAGTGTTGTACGGATAGCGGAGATTTGGGGAGGACCCAGATCCCCCCCAAAAGGATCCTCACATCTCCCCAGAGGATCCCAAAAGCCCCGCACAAGCACATCCCAGTATCCCTCCAAAGCATCTCAACATCCCCGCAGTGCATCGCAGTGTTCCCCCGAGAGTCCCCATCCCGCTGTGGCCTGGGCTGACCCCTGCACTTGCCCCTACCCCGGGGATCCCATTCCCTCCACGGCCATTTCGGGATCCTCCTCCCCCGCTAAATTTAGGGTCGGGATCGGTTCCAGCTCAGCTGTTGCGGCTCCTCCGCAGCTCCGGGGCCCCGATCCCGGCCCAGAGGCGGCAACAGGGGAGGGTGAGTGAGGCTGAGGTGAGGCCGGTGAGGGTGAGGGGGGGTGAGGAGGGTGAGGTGAGACCGGTGAGGGTTAGGGGAGACCGGTGAGGGTGAGTGAGGGTGAGTGAGGCCGGTGAGGGTGAGGTGAGGCCGGTGAGGGTGAGTGAGGCCGGTGAGGGTGAGGAGGGTGAGGTGAGGCCGGTGAAGGTGAGGTGAGGCCGGTGAGGGTGAGGTGAGACCGGTGAGGGTGAGTGAGGGTGAGGAGGGTGAGGTGAGACCGGTGAAGGTGAGGTGAGGCTGGTGAAGGTGAGGTGAGGCCGGTGAGGGTGAGGTGAGGCTGGTGAAGGTGAGGTGAGGCGGGTGAGGGTGAGGAGGATGAGGTGAGACCGGTGAAGGTGAGGTGAGGCCGGTGAAGGTGAGGTGAGGCCGGTGAGGGTTAGGGGAGACCGGTGAGGGTGAGTGAGGCTGAGGTGAGGCGGGGGGCTCTGGGGAAGGCGGATTCAGGGATGGCTCATCCCGGGAATGGGAATCCTGGAGGAGCCTTTGGAAGGCGGTGGGAACGCGATCTGGCCCCGGCAACGAAGGGCCTTGGGTGCCTCCCGACATTCTGTTCATTGTTCCTGTTTTACTGCCCGAGGATCCCGAAAAACAGGGGAGGCGTTAAAAGAATGGATCCTGGGGAGTCCCTAATTCATTATTAAATGTTGATGTTGTTAATTGATTCATAATTCCACGGGGGAGGAGTTGGTGCCCTCACTCCGTGTCTCTTCTCCCTAAATCTCTGTTTTTATCCTGGCATTTCTCTGTTTGTATTTGCGGAGCGGCGTTCCCCGATTTCCCTTCCTGGGAATTCAGCTCCACTGGAAGTTGGGGGATTGTGAGCACAAAAATGGGCACGAAAATGGCATTTCCATGATTTTCCCATCCAGTGGGAGCAGTTTGGGAAAGGAAAATCCCCCGTGGAATTTCTGCCCTTGCCGGGATCTCCATAAGGACATGAAATCCGCATCCCTTCCTCCACCAAATCCCTAATTTTGGTTAAACTGAGCTTCAGGACCGGGCAGGAGCGGTGGGTTTGTCACCCCTCATCCCAAAACCTCCCCAGGAAGGGAAAATTCCCAGCCTGAAAGCTGGGAAATGATGGAAAGCTGGGAAAACTCCCTTGCTGTCACTCCCCCGGGCTGGAATATTCCCGGAATTCCCACATTTTCCTGGAAAACACATCCATGAGCCAATTCTTCCCTTTTTTCCCCCAGGCTGGCGGAGCGGCCGGAGCCGATCCCGGCTGGGAACAGCGCCGTGATGGAGCCGGGTGGGTGGAAAGGGATTTTTTTTTGAGGATCAGGTGCCAAATTCCAGCTCCCTTGGCCCCAAAATCCCGGCCTTGTGTTCCCAAGGGTGCCCCAATCCCCCTCTCCTCACTTTTGGGTGGATTTTCCCCGGATTTCCACACCCCAATTCCCTCTTTTGATGTTCTTGGCCTTCCCCAAGTTGGGCTCATCCCAGAATATCCGTATTTAATTTAACTGGGCTTTAATTCCCCAGTTTCTCTTCTGGGAATGCCCCAAACTGACCTCGTTTGTCCCTTTTTTCCTCTTTTCCAGGGAAAAATGCAGCTCTGGGTGAGTGATTGTCCTCCTTCCCCCCCTGGAATGTCGCAGGCCGTGTTCAACCAACCTGGATCCAGCCCAGTCCTGGAATTAGGGGATCAGTTTGGTTGGGAAAGACCTCTGAGATCATCAAATCCAGGGGAAAAAACCCAAATTAATGCCTTTGAAAGACAATTCTGAGGGTGAAAATAAAAAAAAACCAAACCAAAATCCCCAGGAGGGGCCACTGGGGGGGTGAATTCCTGGAATGATGGAATTATTCCGGTTGGGAAGGGCTTTGGAAATCGTCAAACCCAGCTTTCAGCCCTTTTTTGCTCTCTTTTCCAGATGAATGGGACGCACAAATCCGTGAGTGGAATTGTTTCTTCCCCCGCCTTGTCCTGGCAAAGCCTCGATTCCAAAGGTTTTGATGGAGTTTTTTTGGGTTTTAAGGGAAATTACCGGAGGAATTTGGTGAGTCCTTCACCCCGACCCAGCAGCAGACACTGATGGAGACAAACAAGTTTCTGTTTTTCCATGCATTTCATTTAATTTTTTGTTTTCTCCTAAAGAAAGTGACACTGACCTGGGTAAGTGGAGTTTTTTTTTGGGGTTATTTGGGGTGGTTTTGCTCCACTGAAGGTAAAAATAGTTCCCAGATGTTGGATTTGAGACCAGGAATGAGCCCCCGGAGCAAGAAATTATCCCCAGATATCAAATTTATATCAAACATATAAACTCATGCCCAAAAATATCAATTTATACCCAAATCTATCAATTTCCACTCCAATCTCCCATGTCTTTCTCTCCTTGTTTTCAGAGGAATGTGACATGGAGAATGGTGAGTTCCAAATCCCTAAATCATGGAAAAATTGTCATTAGCATGCAAATTCTCCTAAAGAAGAGAAGTATTGTTACTAAAAATATAAATAATAGAAGAGGAAAGTCCTAAAAACCTCCAAACTCATTGGAAAGGATCAATAAACGTGGGACAAATGGAATAAATCCAGCCAGGACAGATAATTCCTTAATTATTTTCTAATACTGGGAATAAAATAATTACCTGGAGTGAGGAGAAGGAAATTAAACCCCTTTTTCCTCCCCTTTTCCTTCATTTTTGGGCTGGAACTACAGCATTTGGGGAACGTTGGGTTTTGTCTCCATCCAGTGGGGCAATTCCCAGTCCCAAATTTCTCTGTTTCAGGTGAACTCGCAGCGGAAATTGGTGAGTCCCAAACTGGATTCTCCCAGGTCCCTTTGTGTTTTAACCAAACTTCGGGGATTTATTCCTGTTCCTTGGCCTAATCAAAAAAAAATAAAACTAAAAAGAACAGGAGAAATATTATTTTTTAACAATAATTATCATTAAAAATACCTGAGCCTGGGGGAACTGGGGCTGGGACGAAGCCGGAGTTCCTGATCCACCAAGTCAGAATCCTGCTCCAGGCCCCTCTGTTTTGCCCCAAATCCCAACATTTCACCCCAGAATTCCCTTCTCCAGCCCCCTGGCCCCATTTTTCCCACAGCCAAGGGGCAGGAGGGGTTGAATTCCCAAGGAATCCCTGGGAAATCCCAGGTTTACTCTCCTCTTCCCTCCCTGCCTCTCCCAGAGCACCTGACAGCCACGCTCGGTGAGTCCTCAGATTTTCCCTTTTCCCTGTTTTTTTCCCCATTTTCTCCTTTTCCCCCCTTTTCTTTCTTTTCCTTCTCTTTCCCCTTAATTCCACCTTTTCCCCCCTTAATTCCACTCTTTTCCCCCCTTAATTCCACTTTTTCCCCCCTTAATTCCACTTTTCCCCCCTTAATTCCACCTTTTTTTCCCTCTTTATTTCCCCCTTGTTCCCCACTTATTTCCCCCCTTTTTTCCCCTTTTCCCCCCTTTTTTCCCCTTTTCCTGATTTCCTTTCCCTTTTTTCTCCCTCCCCTTCCCAGAGGAGCGGGACAGGAGGATCAGTGAGTGCCTTTTCCCTTTTCACGACAATCCCAACCCCTGGGTCGGGTTTTTCATTAATTTTGGGATCCCTGGGAGGTTTTGGGGTAGCACCAACCTGAAGAATTTGGGATTTTGGGGCCCCTTTTCCCTGTTCCCATCGGTGGATCCGGACCTGGAAAAGCTCCAAATAATTTGAATTTTCATTTTTTTTTTTGGTTTCAGGCAAACTGACCTCGGACCTGGGTAAGGATTTTAATGGATCAAAATGAAGGATTTGGCCTTAAAATGAAAGATCTGGCTTTTTGAATGATCAGTTCCTCCCTCCAATGAACAGCTTGGGTCTTCAAATGGAAACTTTTTCCCCCAAGTTTTTGTTAAAAATGGGAATTGTGGGCTTGAAATGAAAATCCAGGCCTTAGTCATGCAAACCATGGTTGTGAAAAATTAAAATTAGACCTAACTAAAACTAAAATTAACTTTGTGCATTTTTAGGTGGTTTTAGGGCTTAAATAATTAATAATTTAGGGCTTAAATAATTAATAACCCTTGATAAACCAAATTTTTCGGATCGTGCAGGGGGATGCTTCCATGGAATAAAAATTCCCTCAAACTGGAGGAGCCGCTTTGGGATTTTTTAATATTTTTTATTTCTCAGGATTTCGGGTGAATTTGGGTTGGTTTTTACTTTCTTTCCTGTTTTTTAGGTGAATCCAACGCCAAACTCAGTTAGTTCAACGCAAAATCCTCATTTTAAAGGAAATTTGGGGGAAATGTCTCCATTCCTGGCCCCACGGAACCGTCACAGAATCGAAGGAATTATTTCATAATTCTCATTTTCCTGCTTTTTTCCCCTTTCCTCCTCCTCTTCCCAGAGGAACGCGACCGGAAGATCAGTGAGTGCCATTTCCCTGCTGCTTTTGGGGCAAAATCCCTCGTTTTGGGGCAGATGGATCCTCCTCCATCCCATCCTGGGGAAAAACAGCAAATAAGTCAATTTTCCCCCAAATTTCGCCCAAATTTGTGCATTTCCTATGGAGGAAAAAACCCCAAATACTCAAAATTTTAATTTTTCCTCTGCAGCCAAACTTGCTGCTGAAATCCGTGAGTCCTGCTCCTCGTTTTCCACCTCACTTGATGATTTTGGGCTCAAACTCCTCCGTTTTGGGTCAATTCAGTGGCTTTTCCTGGATTAATCCCTGTTTTTCCTCGTCCCACAGGAAGATTCACGGCGCTGCTGGGTATGGACAGCTTTAATTAACATTTCTGGGGGTTTTTTGGCTGTTTTATTCATTAGTGCCATGTTTAATAGCACTAATTAGTGCTAGGTTTAATAAATTAATAAAATTAATTAATAAGATTAATAAAATTAAAAGTATTACTTTTTAGAAACAAAACCAGAAATGGAAAACCCGGTGATTTTGGGGAGGTTAGGAATGGAAAACGTAGGAAAATGGCTAATTTTGACCAGGAAAATTGGGAATATAAACCAAGACAAAATGGGAAACGTAATTTCTTGGGGATAAAGCGACAAATAAGAACGGCAGGAAGTTGGAAATTCCTTTTGTGGGAGGAAAACCTGGAATGAGGGGATTTTTGGGGCTGTTTTGGCTTTGCTTTTGTGCTCGGGGAGTGGGGAGGTAAAACACGACCCCAAAATGGTGATTTTTGGTGCTTTTCCCTCCCTGTGCCGCAGCCGAGCGCGACTCCGGGCTCCGTAAGTGCAGGAATTCCCAATTCCCCCAATTTCCTCCCCTGCAGTTGCTCAGCCCCAATCCCTCTTCTTTTCCCCCCAAAATCTGGGGGTCCCACCCCTGGCACGGTCCCAGATGGGAAATTTGCTGGGACTGGGGGGCTCCCCCCAGTTAGAACCCATTAATATTAATAACAAACTATTATTATTATTATTATTATTATTATTATTATTATTAATTATTTTTATTTTATTTTATTTTATTTTATTTTATTATTATTTTATTTTATTTTTATTTTATTTTATTTTTAATTTTTATTCTTTTTTATTATTATTTATTATTATTTTATTATTATTTTTATTATTATTGTGCTATTGCCCTGCACAATAACATAACACCAACAATAAATCAATATTTCATAAGAATGTAACGAATACCGATTTAATAATTATTATTATCACTGTAGAAATAACATTTTGATTGTATTGATTATTAAAATCCATTATATCCACACTTAAAATTTAGGTATTTTCATTTATTTATATTTATTTATTTTAATTTTTAGTGAATATTTACGGTAAAAATCGATTCTATTAATGATTGAAATTGATTGTATTGATCTTTTTATCTGATTTACGGTCAGACTCAATCCCATTATCAGAATTTATTCCCTTTATTTCTCTGTCTTCAGGGAAGCTCCAAGCAGAGCTCGGTGAGCGATGAGGAAAAGTGGGAAAACGAGCCAGAACAGCCATTTTTATTGGTTTTTAATTTTATTTTAATTCTGGTTCTTGCCTGGATTTTAAATTTCAATTCCTTTTTCCCTCAGCCAAGTGCGACGCCACCATCCGTGAGTTCCACTGGCACCAGGGGAGCGCTGGGACCCCCGGATTCCTCGGAATTTTGGGGGGAAATCCCTCAATTCCACAGATTTCGGGGGAAAATCCCTCAATTCCAGAAAATTTGGGGGAAAATCCCTCAATTCCATAGAATTCAGGGGAAAATCCCTCAATTCCACAGAATTCGGGGGGAAATCCCTCAATTCCACAGATTTCGGGGGAAAATCCCTCAATTCCAGAAAATTTGGGGGGAAATCCCTCAATTCCACAGATTTCGGGGGAAAATCCCTCAATTCCACAGAATTCGGGGGGAAATCCCTCAATTCCACAGATTTTTGGGGAAAATCCTTCAATTCCACAGATTTTGGGGGAAAATCCCTCAGCTCCACAGAATTCGGGGGGAAATCCCTCAATTCCAGAAAATTTGGGGGGAAATCCCTCAAATCCACAGATTTTTGGGGAAAATCCTTCAATTCCACAGAATTTTTGGGGGAAATCCACCAGGATTCAGGGCTGGGGGGGGCTGAGCCTGAATTTGGGGGGAAAAGGGAAAAGGAAGAGGAGGAGAGGCCCTGGGAAGAGCCAGGAGCCCCAATTTGGGGGGAATTAACGGAATTTGGTGATTCCAGGGATCTTCACGGTGGAGCTCGGTGAGTCCCGCCCTGCCCCTGCCCCTCGCTAATTAATCGCTCGTTAATTGATCGGAAATGACCCCAAACCCCACTCTCCCTCTTTCCCAGGGGAGCGACACACGAAAATCGGTGAGTTTGGGGTTTGCACCCCAAAAATTCCGGGGAGGGAATCCCCGATTCGCTGGGGCTGAGAGGAAAAGGAAAACTTGGTCTCAAAATTCCCTTTTTTCCCCCTTTTTCAGGGGAACTCACAGCTGACGTGGGTGAGTTGGTCCCGTTAATCTTCATTTTGTGTGGAAATCGGGTAAAAAACTGGCACTGGGGATTGTTATTATTATTATTATTATTATTATTATTATTATTATTATTATTATTATTGTTGTTGTTGTTGTTGTTGTTGTTGTTGTTTTGTTGTTGTTTTTTTGTTGTTGTTTTGTTGTTGTTGTTTGTTATTATCGTTATTATTATTGTTATTATTGTTATCATTATCATTATTATTACTATTGTTGTTATTGTCATTGTTATTGTTATTGTTATAATCACTAGTATTATTATTATTGTTATTATTACTATTGTTATTATCATTGTTATTGTTATTATTGTTATTATTATCATCACTATTGTAATCATTATTATTGTTATTGTTATTATTGTTATTATTATAATCATTATTGTTATCATTATTGTTGTTATTATAATTATAATTATTATTTTTATTTTTATTGTTATTTTTATTTTTATTGTTATTGTTATTGTTATTTTTATTTTTATTTTTATTGTTGTTATAGTTATAGTTATAGTTATAATCAGTTTCCTGGTTTTGTCCCCAGAGGTCTGCAATAAGAGGCTCCGTAAGTGCCTGGATTTTTCGTTTCCAGGCTGGAATAATTTTTACCAATGACAAAATAAGTGGGTGACAATTCCACCCCGCTCTGAACTGGGAAATTCCCGTCTCTCCCTCTTCTCTCCCTCCCAGAGGAGCACGAGGCGGAGCTGGGTGAGGAATTTCCCCTCCTTTTTTGGGGCGTTTTCCACGAAAATCGGGTGGGTTTCAGGGGGAAATGTGGATTTTCATTGGGTTTAGAGGTGCAGGCACAGAACCTGAAATGAGTACGGATTAATACAGGATATCCTTAAGATATAAACATAAATGTCACTGTTAATATTCAGGAATAATTATAAATATCCCTGGTTTTGTTGTTTAGAGGCCCGGGACACTCGGATCCGTGAGTACTCGGGACCGGCTCCGGGGATTTCTAGGGATGAAGGAAGCAGAAGGAAAAACATTTATTGGTTATTTTTTTTATTTTATTTTTTAGCAATTACTTATGGTTATTTATTTTCCAACAGTTAATTTTAATTCCATTAGAATTTTTGTGATTTTTTTTTTTAGAACTATTTCAATTTTAGGTGGTTTTAAATCATTATTTATTATGATAATTTTATTCCTTTAGGTGAAAATGAAGCTGAGATCAGTAAGTCAGAGATTTGTATTTACATTTGTATTTATATTTGTATTTATGTATTTGTATTTATATTTGTGTTTATATATTTGTATTTCTACTTGTATTTATATTTGTATTTATATTTGAATTTGTACTTATACTTAATTTATATTTATTTTATATTTATATTTATATTTATATTTATATTTATATTTATATTTATATTTATATTTATATTTAATTTATATTTATACTTACATTTATATTTATATATTTGAATTTGTACTTATATTTAATTTATATTTAATTTATATTTATATTTATATTTATATTTATATTTATATTTATACTTACATTTATATTTATATTTGTACTTATGTTTATATTTATATATTTATATTTGTACTTATGTTTAATTTATATTTATATTCTCTAACAACAGAACCAATTCATATTTATAAATTTGCAGTGACTAAAACCATCATTATCATTATTGATACATTATTATCAATATTACAATGATACAATATCATTATTGTATCAATAATGACACAATGATACAATATCATTGCATCATTATTGATTATCAATGATACAATATCATTATTGATACATCGAATTGTATCAATAAATTTGTTGTTATTGCTTTTAATTAATTTCTCTCTGCTTCCCCCAGAGCACCTGAAGCAGCTGCTGGGTGAGTGCCAATTAATTTAGGTGCAGAGAAATTATAATTAAAGGGGAATTTGGGGGAAAATATCAGCAAAATTCCTGGAGGAGGGAGGGGAATCCTGGGGAAAAATGGGAATGGGAAAAATTGTAAATAATAGGGCAATAATGGGAAATTGTGGGCAATAATTAATAATTAATAATGTGGTGATAATGTGGCAATAATAATTAATAATGTGGCAATAATTTCCATTTCTGTGTGCAGAGGAGAAGGAATTGGCAGCACGTAAGTTTTGGAAAAGGGGAATTTTCTCCCCAAAATGTGTCTGATTTCACTGGTAATTAAACTTTTTAGGGTCTCAGACCCCATTTTTGGGCCCCAAAATCATTTTTGAGGCACAATTCCCCATTTATAAACACAAAATTTACCCAGATTTGGAGTTTTCCCCCCTCACAAATATCCTGACTTAAAAAATAAAAGTAGATAATTAATAAATAAAATAATATTTTTTGATTTTTAAACTGAATTTAGAGTTAGAGGAACGTAACCGCTTCTTTTTTTTTTTTTTTTTTTTTTTTTTTTTTTTTTTTTTTTTTTTTTTTTTTAATTTTCCTGACTCTAGAATTTCAGGAAATCAGGGTTTTATCCCATTTTTAATCCTTTTTTTGTTTGTTTGTTTTCAGGAGAACAGGACTCTGTTATCAGTAAGTGCCATTGGATTTTGGGAGCAATCCCTGGGGAATTGGGAATTCAGGATCCCACCGCTGCCACTTTGGCCCCAAAAAATCCCAAAGTTAATTAAATTATGTTTAAAAGAATGGGAATTAAGATCTTTGCCCGGCTCAGGGGATTTTGGATCCTTGGGAAGTGAAAACATGCATCCAAAACCGTTTCATTTTCCTCTTTTTCAGGAAAACTGAGGGAGGAGCTCGGTGAGCGGCTTCTGTTCCGTTTTCAAAAAGGGAGTTTTGGGGTTTTTTTAATAATTGGATTTGTGGGATTGGAGAGCAGGGTGGGGGCAAATTAAAAAATGAAATCGTTAAAACCTAACGAGGCGTCGGGGAGGGTCCTGGAGCCCCCCAAAAAAAACGGGGACGGGGCAGGAAATTTGGGGTTTCTGCGGATTTAAATCCCAAAGCTCGGAATTTTGGGGTTTCAACTCCTTGCAGAGGAAATCCCTGAGGAGATGGAGGAAGAACCTGAGGAGGAGGAAGAGGAGGAAGAGGAGGAGGAAGAAGAAGAAGAGGAAGAAGAGGAAGAAGAAGAGGAAGAAGAAGAAGAGGACAAGGAAAAAGAAGAGGAAGAAGAGGAAGAGGAAAAAGAAGAGGAAGAGGAAAAACAAGAAGAGGAAAAACAAGAAGAGGAAGAGGAAAAAGAAGAGGAAGAAGAGGACAAGGAAAAAGAAGAGGAAGAAGAGGATGAGGAAAAAGAAGAGGAAGAGGAAAAACAAGAAGAGGAAGAGGAAAAAGAAGAGGAAGAAGAGGAGAAGGAACCAGGAGAACCCGGTGAGTGGTTCCCTTTTCCAGCACCAAATCCCTGCTTTTCTCCCCCATTTTCCTGCTGAGCTTGGGATGTTTCCCCAAGAAATCACCGGGGAAAAAATGATGGCAAAATTCCCTAGAGAAAATCCCCAAATCCCTGGATTTTCCAGCAGGAAGCCACTTTGCCCCTTTCTCCACAGTTTTAAGTTTTTATTTTTAAATGGAGGAGTTTGGGTGTTTGAGGAGGGGAGGAGGGAAATTTGGGGAATCATCAGATCCCAATGGAAATTCCTGCTTTTGTCTCTTTCCAGGCAAAATAATGGAAGAACCTGGTAAGAAATTATTGGATTTTCCATTTTAACCCTTTAAAAAACACATTTTTGACCGTTTTCCAAGTTTTTTCATGGCCAGAAACTAATCTTAGGGACAATAATAACAACAACAACTAGCATCATATCCCCAAACCCATCTGATAATTTTAAATTCTTTTAAATTCTTTTAAATTCTTTTAAATTATTTTAAATTCTTTTAAATTATTTTAAATTATTTTAAGTTATTTTAAATTATTTTAACTTGGCTTTTTTTCTTCCCTGTTTCCAGGGGAAGTTGACAAAAACCTCGGTGGGTTCAGTTCCCATTTCTGGGGTGGAGCTGAAGGAAAAATATCCCAAAATAACCCCATTTCTCTTTGGTTTCCCAAAATAACCCCATTTCTCTTTGGTTCCCCAGAGGAGCTCAGGGCAGCGCTGGGTGAGTCCAGAATTCCAAAAGTGGGCCAAATCCCACGGTGGGAGGATTTAAATCAGGGGTTTTGATCTAAAATTTGGGATTGTTCAGTTAATATTTGGGGCTTGGATTTAAAATTTGGGGTTTTGATCTAAAATTTGGGATTGTTCAGTTAATATTTGGGGCTTGGATTTAAAATTCGGGTTTTTAATTAATAACTCAGGATTGTTCAGTTAATATTTGGGGCTTGGATTTAAAATTCGGGGTTTTGATTTATAACTCAGGATTTCTACTAAAAATCAGGGATTTGGATTAAACAGTAAAGGTTTTTATTTGAGATCCGAGATTTTTCATTTAAAAGAGAGGTTTTGGTTCCCACTCTGCTCCCGGGATTTCCCCCCTGGGATAAGGGATGCAGCAGAGGGGATTCTTGTGTGATAATCTGAATTTTCCTGCTTTTCTTCCCCATCTCAGGAGCTCGAGACGCCAGGATCGGTGCGTTTTCCCCCCTCCCCCTCCCTGAAATTCCATCAATTCAGGAATTTCGGTTCCTTCTGGTCACCAGCCCCACGAAACTGAGGAGTTTTGGGTTTTTCCCCTCGCAGTGGAGCTGTCGGAGGCGCTGGGTGAGGGAAATTCAGGAAAAATGGATCACAGCAGATACAGAATCATATTATTAATTACAATATATATATTAATTATATATTAATACACTATTAATATACATTAATCATTATTAATTAATAATAATTACATTCTTAATTACATTTATTGTCTTACAGGTGTATTTTTTGTAGTTTATAAATATAAAATCATTTTTTAATTATCTATTTTGTTAAAATACTGTGGTTAATTCACATTCACGTTTTCTAATTTTTATTTAGATATTGGTATATTTTCTATATTTTACTCCACTATGCATTTAAACACACCCTCTATTAAAACACAGATTTAAATAACATTTACCATGTTTTACTCCACTGTACATTTAAACACACCCTCTATTCACACAGATTTAAATAATATTTACCATGTTTTACTCCACTATACATTTAAACACACCCTCTATTAAAACACAGATTTAAATAACATTTACCATGTTTTACTGCACTGTACATTTAAACATACCCTGTATTAAAACAGATTTAAATAATATTTACCATGTTTTACTCCACTGTACATTTAAACATACCCTGTATTCACACACAGATTTAAATAATATTTACCATGTTTTACTGCACTGTACATTTAAACACGCCCTCTATTCACACACATTACAGATTTAAATAACATTTAATTTTGCTCTGGCTTGTGGTAACATTTTAAACGCTGCTCCTGTAACATTTGCCTGGATTTTGTCCGATTTTGCCCAGAACAACGGGACAGGCGGATGGGTGAGTGTCCAGTTCCTCCCAAGGTGGGAATTCCTGCCGGACCCCCGCAGCCCCTCATGGAAATTCTCCTTTTCCTCCCTTTCCAGCGGAACTGAACGCGGAGCTCGGTGAGTCCTGGGGCTGCTGGGGGAGTTCTGTTTCCTCAGCTGAGTAAATTACCCGTACAAGCCTCCACTTTTAATTGCTTCATTAATTCCTGTTCATTTTCTCCTTTCAGAGGAATCCCGAATACGGATCTGTGAGTGTCCCGGGGCTGGTTTGGTTCTGTTTTAATCTCTCTTATTCTATTTTCTTTACTTTTCTATTTTTTTTTTTTTTACTTTATTTTTTAATTTTTGATTTTATCGGTTTTTTTATCCCATTTCACGTTTTCAATTCTGTTTCACCACCGTCCATCCCGGTTATCCTGTGGTTTCCTGGCAGGGCGGTGTCTCGAGGAGCACCGTGAGTGTTCTCCCCCCCTCCCTCCCTTCCCAACCTCCCGCTCCAGGGATTCCTTCCTGAATTCTGTGCTTTTAGGGAAAGAGGAAGAGCAAGTGGGTGAGTCCCTGTGGGAGAGACGGATGGAAGGGGCACAGCTCGGGGCTTTTGCCTGGTTTCACCTTCTGTCCCCCTTTTTCCCCATTTTCCCCTTTCCTCCTCCTTCCTCTCCTTTTTCCTGTCGTTTCTCCTCCTTTTTTCTCCCATTTTCACCCCCTTTTCCTCCATTCCATTTCCCCCTTTTTTCCCCCATTTCCCCCATTCCATTCCCCCCGATTTCCCCCCATTTTCCCCATTCCATTTCCCCCATTTTCCCCCATTTCCCCCATTCCATTCCCCCCTTTTTTCCCCCATTTCCCCCCGGTTTTCCCCCCGATTTTCCCCCATTCCATTTCCCCCATTTCCCCTATTCCATTCCCCCCA